AGCAGGAACCACTCCATGAGAAGTACTGTTAGCCACAAAACCAATACAATGAAATAAAACATTGCAAACTCTTGGGCACCCATTTTTAACACATGGTTTCTGCCAGGCCCAAAATAATATTTTCCTGCTGAAGTATTTGTTAGAATCATTGAATACGATCTGTCCTTGATATGATAATATATACTTTTCAAATGACTTAAATGTCTCACAGTCATCAAAGAATAACACTGGCTTATATGCGTCACTCTAGAAGGTAACACAATCCTTGTCTCTGCCTTTTTAACATATTTGCCTGTTTTTTGCTAAATGCTATCTATGTACATTTGCTGTTCATAAAGTACCCCAAAATAAACCAGTTTAAAGCAGATTAAATATCCAGTTGTGACATCATAATCCTTATGACATTGATACGTTATCACAGAAATGTATCTGTCATACCTATAGGCCAAAAAGTTTATGCAAAAAAAGAAGTCAGAAATCATGCATTTGTACACACTTTGCATAATCAAATAATTATGTTGAATTAAAACTGATTAGCAAAGACCAAGCTAGAAAGTTTCATCCAAATTCTGCATAATCTGCCAAATGCTTATTGATTTCAGGGAAAAGTACAATGGGTATTATGACTGTTTTAAATTATCAAGAGGACATTTACCCCTTGGGAATTATACCATCAGGCTATTTGTTTATCTAGCACAGTACAATAAGATTTGCAGCGGCACTCCAAGATTTCAGAGAAGCCATCTTCTGCAGCCCTATTCAATGCAAATTGAACTTGGGAGCCTAAATATGCATAGCATGTACTCTGTCACTGGGCTATGTCCTTCCTTGCGTCACTCAGGTATTCATGTCTGCATAGCCAAGCAGGGGGATTGTCTCACTCAGAAGCATAAAGCAAGTAAATCAAAGAATTTTCATATAATTCCTCCTAACAGAAAATTTTGCTGGTGAATGCCAACAGGAGACTAGGCAAAAGACAGAGCCACTGAGAAGCAAAGAAGTATCAACATCCTCAGAAGAACCTGTATGTAGTAATACAAAAACACTTCCAGTTTTATAAGGACCATATATGCTCAGAGCCCACAGAATGCTGAATGTCTCTTGGGAGTACAAGAAGGGGAAAAAAGGGAAGCAGAGGGAGAAATATCCTGGAAGAGGGCATAGCTAACTGGAACAACCACACAATACCATTTTATCCCATTGGTATGATCCCATTGGCATACTAATTCCCACACACATACACCCTCCAGTTCACATTGAAGCAGCAATGGAATAAAGCACAAAAGAAATTTCCATTCCTCTCACTTGAGGCAAGCAAAGGTTAAATCATGAATTTATATCTATTACACACACTTGTTTCTCAGTTAATAGTCCAAAGTCTTTCAAATCTCAGCAATTCACATAACATATTAGATTATTCAAACATTAAAATATCAAATGATCAGAACACTAATGCAGCCTCAGCAGAAAACAGAAGCAAAATATCAAGATCTAAAACGTCTGGGCAAATAAGGTAATTATTATCTGGTGCCTGACCAATCTACCTACTGGATCCCATATCCTTGGTTACTAACCACCTCAGCTCAAATTTAAGAAAAATAAAAAAAAGAACCTGAAATGAAAGGACTGAATCAGTGTTGCAGATTTGGGGGGGCAGGAATCAAGATGTCTACCTGTGAATAATATACAGTTCCTTTTAAGTGACTGGGGAAACATCCCATGTCTTAGATGCCTCACAGAGATAGGGCCAAATTAATAGGCAACAGATAATATGCAAGGGGACAGAAGAAGTCTACTTCAACTTGGCAACTGTACAAACATCTTTTAATATTTCCTGTGAAGCCAGTAGCACAAAGAGATTTTGCATGGTTGCCCAGGGGACAACATGTGCCATTTACATCCACCTTTTGGCAGCTCCTTCTCACTCTAGCTTAAGCATTGCTGAGCTAAGTTGTCATGAAACCATATAGGAAGGAGAGTTTTCTGAGCTGCCAGTACCAATGCCTTACTTCAGAATGGCTGAAGCCTTTACAGCAATACTGCCAGGATCCACAGAACACACTAAGGCCACTGGCTGTCCATCATAAACTGTAGCTGGCTTATATGGTTGTTATGTGCTGCCACACTGTCCCTGATTTATGAATGAAATTCCACAAAAATGTCCTATCCATAACAGCCGTGCTTAGCTCTTCTAAATTCAAGGCTGTGGCTTTCCTTATGAAATCAATCCATCTCATATTTAGCTTGCATTACATTTTAAATATGCAACAATCACAAGTTGAAAGCAGCATAAGATGACAGACTCCCTGCAAATGGATCACATCTAGTAAACTGTTTGTCAATCATACCTTGCTTGGTATTCTGAAGTTCTCAAGGGGGCTCAAATCATGAACATTTTCCTGAGGACTTTTGAGACCCTGGGGAGAAGAAAAAAAAGGTGACAGGTAATATATTATCTGCAGTGCACAGTCAAAATACTCCAACACTAAGCATGGGTGTTTTAACTAGCCTACATCAGGCTAATAATTTGAGAATCAAAACTAAAAATATTTTATTGTTTCCATGTGAGAGAACCTGAAATAGGTATTGTTTTAAATTGCAGTAAAAGGATGAATATTTTCTGCTACCTGATCCTATGTATGGTTCCAGCTCATGCCTCTATATTGCATTCATAAATTAAATGAAAACATAATGGGATGTGCAGTAATCTAATAATTAAGGGAGACATGAGCCTTACCAAGCATTCAAGAAAAGGGCTTAAAGTAACACATGAGAAAAGAGAGTGGTCTAATCCTACCCCTATCCTCCATCTGTACTCCTGGAAGATGACTGCCTCAAGAGGAAAACCTAGGGAGGCCCTCCACATGATGAAGAACTCTGGAAAATTTGCTGGTGGCATTTAGGCAGGGATTAGAACAGGCAGAGGCAATTTGTGGACTTCCACATGTTTTGGCCTACAATTCCCATCAGCCCCAGTAAGCATAACCAATGGTGAGGAATGACAGGAGTTGTAAGCCAAAGACATCTAGAGATCTACAACCCTAATTCTAGATTACACCAACAACAAAAGGAGCAAAATGAAAACTAATGGATCCATCTCAAGTTCCCAGGCCGATGATCCAGAAGGGAAAGGGAAATCCCTTCAGAAAATGCTATCCTTATGGATCAAGACAACAATTTTGTCTGACAGCACAACTGAGGGGCCCCACAGTAGTCTATGTCACACTTTGTAGATTGACTGGAGAAGCCCAGTCTACACGGACACTGAATTTGTGTGGAGAGTAGGAAAAAGAATCTCCTCTAATATTTACTGTGCAGTGATCTGAGATCTGCAACTTATTCTCTGTTGTCAGCCATATCACAGAGCATTCAAGCTTGAATGCATTCTTAGAACAAAGACAGTTTTCTCTGACTCGTTTTGCATGCTACTCCATAAAAGGAGTATCATTGTATGAGATTTATGCTTAACAGCATCAGGTTATAAGAGCATTTCATTCCAAATACTAATTCTCTCTTTAATGTACATAACATAGCATTTGTTATCAAGGTATTTGCAACATTTTGAGGGAAGTCAAATCAATTTTCTCTACTCCCATTAAATGCTACACTGCCAAACAAAACTGATTGCCCCGTTGTTTGGGACAATCAGCAACTCTACCAGCTTGTTGAGTCTTACAAGGCAGCATATGAACCTTTATGTCATAACAGGTTTGAATAATTTAAAGGCTGGGCAAATCTGCTCAGCCTCAGCAATCAGAATCTCAGAGAAATTCAAAGGTTTCTTGAAAAAAAAAAAAGCCTTACAGTTTCCTGCATACTCTGCCCACTAATGAAAGCTGGGAGTTGTGGGACTTTTTTCTGTCTATATATGCATACAGTTGTGCCCTAAATCCCTCTGTTTGGGGGCATTTATTGAAATAAGTTATGGACTGCCCAGGATGTGGTGGCCCTTCTTGCCTTCCTCCTAAAAAACTCCTTATTTCTTCTTTTCTTCTGCTCTCCCCATTTCTACTCCTCTTCCTTTATTCATTTTTGTCCTACAATCTTCCCTCTGTGATACATTGGACCTCAACAATGGCATATTTTAGACTTTTACTGATTTTTTTTAAACTTTGGCATTACTCCAGCAGTCAACCAAAATTCGCTAACATTGTATGATTACATGTGCACTAGCTTATTTTAGGGTGTCACTGAAAACCACTTTGGGATCTTTACAAATAAGAAGCAATCGAGAAGTATTACTAATGATAAGTAATGACAATGCAGGGATCCTCCTTTCCTACAAAGGAAGAGATTGTTCTGCCTGTTCCTATCTCTTTTCACATTTGCTAAGAGAGGAAAAAAGAGGGCTATAGCCCAAAGCACAAACGGAGGCCAAAGGATCCCCAGCTCTCTCAGGAACACTACAACGCAAAAACGTCTCTTTTTATGTCTTGGAATCCTTGCTTTTCTTTTTACCTCATTTTTAAACAAGCACGCCTTTGACTACCCCAATTCACTCCGAAAGCTAACATTCTAAACTCATATATATATATTGAGGGGGATGTTAAAAGATTTTCCGATTAAGGCTAACCCGTCCCTAGAAATCCCATCCTCATTCCAAACCCTTCAGGGTGGAGGGGATTTTGGCCTTGCTCTACAAACGCAAAACACGCCCCCCCCCCCGCCAATTTCCTCCCAACCTTCCCTCGGTTTGCTACTCCCGTGGCTACACTCATAGCTCCAAGCTACCTCTTTGCCCTCAGCGACCTAGCAAATTTGTGACTTTCCGCCCCACAGTACCTGTCGGGTCATCAGCGACTTGATCTTCTGCATGGCAGCGCAAAACCGAACGACCCGCCTCACACACTCCTACCATCCATCCGACAGGGCTCTCTCTGACACAGGGAAGCCATTTTGTACATCACGTGACAAGCGTTCCTTTCTGTCCCGTTTTTCATGGGACTTGTAGTTCAGAGTGAGCACTAGCCTCGCATGCTTTGGGCCGGAAATCTTGGCTTAAAGAACTACAAGTCCATAAGGCTTAGCAAAGGACGTAGGGTGTCTTCAGGAACATTGGAATTTGCAAGGGGGAAGAAGCCACTTAGAGGCAGGTAAAATTGGAGGGATAATCTACCACTGGGAGGCGAAACTTCCTGGTTTCTGCTTAGCGAGTTTTTCGTTTCTCCTCCCCAGCGGAGGATCTGAAAAATAATGGCACGATAGCAGTGAATGGGAAGCAGTTCGGGGAAGAAATGTAGTTATTTTTTAGTTTTTAAAAATTAAAAATTAACCTCTAAATGTCAATATAATTCAGTATCCCTTTCTTGGAGGTTGTAGCAGCTCTGCAGTATAGATACCATTTGGCAATTGTAAAAGAGGATCATTCCTTGTAGCTGCGAGACTGTATTGCGAGTCTCAAATTCTTAGTCAAATCCCTCTTTCTGCAGGGGCGGGGAGGACAGGCTTGCCAGCTGACTCGAAATACATGGCTTGCCTGGGTCTGTGATGGTGATGTTTTAAGGACAATTACTACCAAGTGCAAGACTGGGGATTTTCCCCGCTTTAATCAGACATTGGTTTAAATCAGACATACTAAATACTTCAGGTGAGCAACGGTTGTTTCACCAGGAGCAATGAATTCCCAACATACACTGTTTGTTTTGAAGCCACAATATATGTTTATTTTGCCTTTAGCTCATACCAGCTATACCCTGAAACTACAAAGCAATAATCTACCAAACATTTATAACTCTTAATGTTAGCAGCCCTAGCCCTACAAATCATCTGTTCAGGTAGGTAGAAAAAGAGAAATACTGGGGACAGGTAACTTTTCCAATTTCCCTAGGGAATTCATGAATTAGAAGAGAATGATTCTGTGTTTCAAATACTTAATAAAGTACACACACATTCTTGCAATCTTATCTTAGCAAATGGCTACAGAATTCTTTCTTTTTCCTTTATTTTTATTCAAGTGAACCAGTTCCCCATGTTAGAGACAATGAAGCTGGCATAGGAAATGGCGCCATGACCCACACATTGCGCAAGTTTATCAGAATATGAGAAGAAGCCACAAGCAAAAAGCTACACTGTACATGTAAATTTACACAACATCATTTCAGTTGCCTCTAAAATCTCTTGATAGCCGATCAAATTTAGGGCCTAATGTTCTCAAGATAACTTTCAATGTTGAACATGTTGTTTGAGTTTAAATTAAGGAACCCAGCTCCTGATTTGGAATTGGTCAAGAACCCAAAACAGTCTAAGGACCTCTTACCGTTTCTTTACAGCTGCCACTTTCATTTGGCACAGAAAGCCTCGCACACTTCCAGGTCAAGGGCAGATTGCCCAAGAACTTCAAAATCCAAGTGGCAGTGGCATTAAGTATAGAAACATGTTTTAATCAAGACATTGTTTTTACAGGGCTGTTTCATGCTCTCTCCCTTTTGGGTAAGAACCAATTTATTACATAGTTGTTTTTCCACCTTATGGGGGGATAGCACTATCCAATCCCTTTATCTAAAAGGGACAAGCAAACCAAGAGGAAAGTTTGATTTCTAGCTCTTACACTCATGTCCAGGTCAATGTTGCCTCTCCATGTAGCTGTTTAATTGCCTGCTGTGTTAAGGTGAATGCAACCTGCATATGCTCTCTAGGCTCATTTATTTTTTATCAGTGTTGAGTGATTCATACTGTGTATGCTCCATTTATCATGCTCTGTATTTGCTGTGAACATACCAGAGCGGGGAATTATGATAGGATCATAAGCAATGAAGATGTCGAACACTAATCCAACAGGTGTTCCCACTCCCTCTGTCTTTTGTATACACATATTCAAATCATCTAAAGCAAGGCAGGGTAGGAACTGATACCTCAGTCCTTATTTCCCTAGCAAATAACCCTCACAGCTGCTGTACCAGGTTTCTGACTGAACACCAAAAAGAGGAGGAATTTGCATGAGACAGGATGCTTTCATGGAGCCCTTTAGCACCAGATATTATGACTTGCAATGGAAGATCTATGTCCTGCTTTTAGGTAAGATCCTGAGTGCCTTATTGTACTTTTCTGATATTTCAGCCAGGTTTCAGGCTTTATTTCATACTTGTGAATTTTTCTGTTTACAGATATTAAAACTGTCAAGAACAGTCAGTTTCAACTTGTATGAAAAAATGTGTTCCAAATCATAGCTGATCACTCTCTCTCTTCTTTCACTCTCTCCCTACTACACACTTATTCATGGATAACTGCAGTTCATTGTGTTCATGTTATGTTCAACATTGAATATGAGATAGGTGAATTGCAGTGCCGGGTTATGGCAGGATGGAATCCTGAAGGAAATTCTGGGGTGTTTGATGAAAAGAGCTTGAGAGCTCAGTTTGTGACTGAGGAGGGTGAACAGAAAATGAGGATTCACAAGGTTCTCAAAGGAGTAAAAGGATGACTTGGAAAATCTGGAGGGGTGTCCTGAGAGGAGTAAAGTGGGGAAATGGGGGTGGGGGGAGCTAGACCTGAAAGGATCCAAAGGTGGGGGTTCCTGAGAGAGGAATATTCCAAAGAACCAGCTTGAATGTCATAATTAGAGAAAGGTCAAATCAAAAAATATATATAAATCAAGTAAATAAATCTCTACCTGCCCATTTACTTGGGTTTACTTCCAAGTAGACATTCATGGAATTGTGCTATAATTCACATATATATGTAATGTACATTATATCCAGTGGGTTAGAAAAGCAGTGTGAAATTACACTGAATAACAGGTATTCTCTCTCCTATATTGATAATACATTGTGCAAATGATTTTATTTGTCTTCATAGTCCCATATGTAGTAATAGAATAACTATAATTACCATAACTATGTTCTTCTTAAAGTCATTATGACTGTTTATAGAATGAAAAGTATACTTAAGAAAAGTATATTTTGAGTACTTGTTCCAAGCTGCATACAATTTTCCAGGAGTTATATTTAAGTTTAACACTTACAATCCTTCTAACTGAGATACATTTGATTTCCCATATGTTTTCATACATTGTCATTTTATTTTCCAGTAAGGTGAAATTTGATTACATTAAAATCTGTATGTGTGCTTCTGTTGCTTTTGATGTTTTGGCACTGGGTACAAAGATGGCACATCTAGTACATAGTATCTTCCTATGTTATAAATTAATTTACTTGTTTTCATATCCAGTGTTCACTGCACTAGAAGTGGAACTATGAGTGAGGCAAGGGGAAGGCTGGAAGCTTACTTGCTATCATACCACAGGAAATGTTGCCACTAGAATTCTGATTATTAATAACAATTTCTATATTGCCAAATAGCCAAAATTCTCTGTGTTTCACAGCAATTTATCAAAGTCCAACAATAAAAATGAACAAAATAAAATATAGATATCATAAAACAGTGTCATAAAATAAAATAAACATTAAAACAGCTGACATATTTCATCACATGCCATTAAATGCCTAGAAATAGAGAGCAATTTAACCTGATGCTAAACAGATGACAACGTTGATGCCAGGTCAGCCTCAGAGGGGAGATAATTCCAGAATGCGGCGGGGGGGGAGTACCCCTGAGAAGGCTGTCTGTTTGGAAATGTATTCTATTAGGTATTGTTGTCCCAAGCTATGTAGAAAAGAGCCCCTTGAATTAGACAGCCAATGCAAGCATACCAGAAGTGGTCTTATATGTTCAGACCTTCTGTTCCCTGTTATTAATTAGGCCGTTGCATTTTGTACAAGCTGCAGCTTCTGACAAGTCTTCAAGAGCAGCACCATACACAGTGTATTGTAGTAATCTAATTTAGGGATTACCCTACCCTATTAATGAAAACAGACTATCCCTGTCCAAACGGGTGTAGCTGGGCCACCAGCCAAAGAGGGAAGAACGTACTCCATGCCACTGAGGCCAGATGAGCCACAGGTGACAAAGATGGCTCAAGCGGAATCCCATGCTATAAACTTACTCCTTTACGAGGAATACAGCCCCATCCAAAGCAGTTGAACTATCTCCAGCCAATCAGAAGAACCACTCACTAAGAGCATTGCAGTCTTGTCTGGACTGAGCTTCAGTTTGTTAGCTCTCATCCAGTGCATTGTTGTGGTCAGGCACATCCATGGTCTCTTCTGTTGAAAAGAAAGCGAGTTGTACATTATCAGTATACTGGTGACAATGCACTTCAAAACTCTGGACAGCCTTGCTCAGCAGTTCCACGTAGATATTAAATAGCATGGGGATAAGCCTGACCCCTGAGGGATAAAATACTAGAGAGTTCAAGAGGCTAAACAATATCCCTCAAGCACCACCTTCTGCAGTCAGTTATCCCAATAGGAGTGGATCCACTGCCATGAGGTATCCTCCAGTCCATACTCAGCCCAGAAGTGGTCAATTTTATCAAAAACCACTAAGAGGTACAGGAGAATCAACATCTCTCTCCTGTCACAGGTCATTATAAAGGGCAACCAAAGCTGTTTCTGTGACAAAACCTGGATTGAACCTCAATTGAAATGAATCTAGCTAAACAGTCTCATCCAAGTGTGCCTGAAGCTGGTTCACAGACCTTGCCCAAAAAGGGGATGTTTCACAATGGCTTAAAATTATTCAAGTCTTCTGGATCCAGAGTGGGTTTCTTCAGGAATGACTCACCACTGTCTCTTTGAGATAGCATGGGACTACCCTTTTCCATAAGGAGGCATTAATCAACTCTCAGGTCCAGCCAGTTGTTCCCTCTCTGCTGGTTTTTATTAGCCAAGAGGGTCAAAGATCCAGAATAGAAGTGGATGCACAAACCTGTCCAAATGCCTTGTCAACATTCTCAAGCTCTAACACCTGAAGCTCATCCAATAAAACTGGATCAGTCTGTGTTCTGAAAGCCTCACCAGATTCAACTGCTATAATGCTGGAGTCTAAATCCTGGAGGATGCAAGAGATCTTGCCCTGGAAGTGCCTAACAAGTGGGTCTCAGATGGGTCTTACAACATTAGATTCTGTATATCACAGGCAACAAACAACCTTAAAATGGTTTGTTGGATGGCAGGCAGAGGACTGAATAGAGGCAGTAAGGTGTTGTTTGTTGTTCTCACTGCCCTTAAGTATACTTTTTTATAGTCATCTACCAGAGAGCAGACTGATAGGGCAACCATCAAACCTGCAGGTGCAAGGAGGGTCCAAACATGAGACAACCAGTAGATGTCTAGACTGTGTTTCTCTCATCTAGCTAACCCTCCTTCCAATGCCATATCCCGCTCCAATCTTATGCTCCCCAGTTGCTTCTATTTGTGAAAGATACAGTTAGTGATAAGTGGATCACTCCAGCATCAATACGTACATCCTCCAAACAATATGTTTATAAATGATTTCTCAGGGCATTCAGTTGACTTCAGTCAGCTTTGGATTAAACTGGTCAGTAATATGAATGTTACACCCACACTGGTTACAGCAAACAGATGTACGTTGCACAGGAGGCTTGTGGATATGTTTAATCCTTATTTGCTCAAACAGCTCAGGACTAGTTCAGTAATCCCAACTAGGACTTGTTGTTTTTCACTTGCCTGTGCAGAGGGTGGACAACACATCACAAGAATTTCCCAACTCCTGATACATCTGAAAACCTCATAAGAGGAGGATAGAAGGACTAAAAACAAAAGGACTCAGGTCTCGGGCAGTTTCAGGCTTCAAACATCATGTATGCATATTAGTAAATTAAACTCTTCATTGCCAGTCTGGTCTGGCCTGGGATGGGAAAAGTTAACAAAGTGTCCCACAATGACATGCCTGCCTTAAGAGAAGGCCATACATGTCAAGTAGCATGATGACTCACTCCGCTCAACCGTGCACCAGACCAGAAGTGAGGGAACATGGAAGTTTGATCTTCTCATGGAATAGCACAGTTCCCCCCACTCCCAGACGTTACAGGCACATGCCTGATGACAGGAATGTTAATTTTCTACAACTGAAGAAGGAAGCAGTAGTGAGTGGCAAGCAGGGAAGGACGGGCAACCAGAGCTACTTGCCCTTTCACCCATGAAGCTGGGTTCAGGTCTTAAAGAACATTGCCTTGGGAAACCCACAATGTAGGCTCTACTCACAGAAAGCTCAGGAGCCAAGAACCCCGGTACTATTAACAGCTCGGTGTTTGCTTACAACTTCTGTTAAATCAGTTTTGTTCAGCTACACACCAGCATTCCAATCTGACAGTGTTCTGTCCTGTTCAGCCTAAAGCTATATGCTGAGAAACATAAAACAAGAAGGAATGAAAGTCAAGTTTATTTCAGTACTGTGCTACTCTGACATGTTCTGAAATGTTCTTACAAAAATAAAAAGAGCATTTTCCCATGGAGACTTTAGTTGATCCAATACACTTGAAAATATGATGTCACCATTTTTATTTAAACAAAAGCAGGGAGGGAAGGCTGTTTTCAGTCAACAAGAGTAGTGTTTTGCTTACTAATACTTAAAGACAGATATGGAAGTACAGTGCACGTTGGAGGTCACTCTGGGAAAGCCTAGCCTGTTTATATCCAAGACAGAGAAATTAGGCCCAAGGACCAAATTCGAGCAAAGAAAGTGTGTTGTTTGCCTAGGCATTTTAACACTGTTTTTAGTGCTTCTGCTGCTGTTTTTAATTTGGTTTTATACTGTTGTAATGCATTTAATGTTTGCTGGTGGTTTTATATTGGTTTTATTCTGTCCTGTTTATGTGTTTAATGTATTGTACACCATCCAAAGAATTTCAGGTACTGGGCAGTTTAAAAGTGCAGTAAAGAAATAAAATTCGAAGCTATTGGACTCTAAGGAGTCTAACTGTGCAAGATTACAGCTTTGTACAATTAAATGCTATGTATACTTCCTCAAAAGTAAGTTCCACTGAGGAGCTTAGTCCCTAGTAAGCCTGTTTATTAGGCTGGGTTCGGGCAACAACAGGCAAAAGTGTTTTTTACCATTACTGGCCTGTTGTGCTGACCTGAACACAGTTGTGGTATTTCATCTTGGTAAGTTTGGTCTTTAGAAAGCATGATAAGAAACAACAGTTTGTTCTATGGTTCCTCCATACTACCATGGGTTGCCATGTTGTCCAAGCCCAGGATCACGATTTCCATACTCCTAGTATACAATTACCACAGAGTCCGCAGGAAGGAGGGGCAGCTGCAGGAGTGGCAGCTCCAGCCAGCCATCCTCTATGTGTGGACCAATGTGAAAGAAGCAGGCAACACAGGCACATGATTGGACCAGTGTTTCTTGAGACTGAATTTCAGGCACAATGCCTGGTGTGGTACAGCAGGAGAATTAAAGAGAGAGGATGAAAACCATGATAAAGTAAAAGCCATTTGATCGTTTGTCAGATCGATCATGTTGAAAAAGCATGAACCATGGCAACCATGTAGGGTTGCTTATTGTGTTTTGTGAACACATCCTTAGAATGACAGGTGGAGCCTGGTTAGGTTAGGTCAGGGGTCAGCAACCCACAGCTCCGGAGCCTCATGTGGCTCTTGAATGCCTCTGCTGCAGCTCCATCGCTCATGTCACAGCCACCGCCGATCCACGGCCCGTCACAGCACAGCGCTTGGATAAATCGAAGAAAAGTTTCTGAAGAAAACCAAACATTTAATGATACTTGGGTAGATTCATTTGCTTTTACTGCTGACGAAGTTACGGGGTTTGCTGTTTAATGCATGGAGCCCTTTAGCACTGACTTTGACTCTTCAGGAAGCTGTTCTCCTATTCAAAATATATGAAAGGAGTCCTACTTGTTTATAATGTAAGATTAAAAATAACAGTTTTTAGTGACTGAACAAGAGCTACAGCTAAATCATAATGACGATATACATAGCATTAAGGTAAAAATGATATATGCAGGATCATCTTCATTTTAGATGCCAAAAGGGTTTTGCGGCTCCCGGTGTTTCCTTTTGTGTGGGAAATGGGTCTAAATGGCTCTTTGAGTGTTAAAGGTTGCCAACCCCTGGGTTAGGATATCAGTCAAAGAGCTATTTTCTTATTCTTTATTTGAGAACTAATTGATCTGAATGCTGTGTTTCCTCAATAATATTTATTACTTATTTCAAACATTTTTATCCCATCTTAGGAAGTCCTGCCCTTCTGCAAATGAGCAGTAGCAAATTTTATGGGATGGGAGGGGAAAATTAGGGGAGGTTTGCACTCCATAGACGGGCTGAGTGACTCCCTTGTCAGGGACTTCTAGAACCTCAAGATGAAACTAGCTAAATAAAAGTGTTGCTGTTGTTACCTGTGTTGTTGTTCTTATTTAATTAATAGTGTAATTATTTTGAGAGCTTTGGCTACAAGGTGGTCCAGAAATAATACTAATACTACCAATAATAATTTGTACTCCATTTCACAGCATAACCCTCACAAAGATTTTAAATCCTAGCTCTGTTCCCATAACACATAAAAGAGATAAAGCAAGGAAGCTTTATCAGCAAGTTGTATATCAGCAAGTTCCCTAATTTCTACTTCCTTCTACCCTTATAGAAATTCCTCATTCTGAGTACACCTGTATAAACCATCAGACTATATACAGAGCACAACTTCACATCCCTGCAGGGAGCTCCGCCCTTCCTGACAGGGAAACAAAAGGATTTCTTTTCAACTGTTATTTGGTTGGATGTATTCCATGACCTTAATGAGGGCAAGTCTAAGAGTCAGGAGAAACCACATGGAACCATTACAGTAGTATAGCATTTTGTCTCCTAAATTACTATCCAGTACCTACTTCATGTGAAACAGGCATACACCTACTCACACAGCTATCCAAAAATATTACTGGGACCAGAAGTACTTATTTACAATTTAATCTATTCAAAATACTTGCATACTGTTCCACTTCTAAGCAGATTTGCTCAGAGTATTTTGTCTGAAATTTAACTCAGCTACTCTGAAATTTAACCCAGTAGCTGAGTTAAATTTCACAGAAATTCTCAAGGACTACCTTGAGTGGGAGCGGCCAAATTAAAAGCATAGTAAGGCATGCCACTTAGTAATGCTCTTACTGCCAGAAAGTATGCTTTAGGAGAGACATTTTAGAATGGGGAAAAAACTAAACAAAAGCCAGGAAAGCAACAAACAACCAGCAGTTGGGGAAAGGGAGGCAGATGAAGGGAGCTATTGGAGGTTCCTGGAGGCCTGAGGTTCCCCACTATTGCTTTACTGAACGAGGCAGGAAGTCAGCCTACTTTGATCTCTGGAAACCTCAGGGTCTGCTCCTCTGGGAGATCCAATACAGGGCAGAGGGGTGCATATATAATATTATGGATTTAAACAGAAAATGCCATTGACCTTTCAAGCATGACACTATGAAGCTTAGTCTCAGCACAAGACACAGTCCTGTGTGGTGCTCATCAGCCAATGCAGAGTGGGAGGGGCAGCAGAGGTGATCTTCACCTGCCCGCTCTTCCCACACAGCAGTTTTCAGGCACCTGGCCATGGTGTTATGGGGTGGGGATGAAATTTATATAGTCAATTTATATAGTTTTATTGTATTCTATTTATTCATGGTTTGTGAGCCACCCCGAGGATTCGGCGAATGGGGCAGCATAGAAGTCCCCTAAATAAATAAATAAATAATAAAATCTCTCTGAACACAGTGGGGTCTACTTCTGAAGAACCATGTCCCAGGATTACTGGGAAAGTTAATCAAGCTTTAATTTCTTTGAAATCAATGTTATGATTAACTGGTCGCATTGATTTCAATGGGACTAAAATGTGTCTGTCTTCTAGATCCAATGCAATATATCAAAAATGAAATGACATAGTTTATAGGTAATATAATAGACTGCTGCATTAAAATCCGTGATGAATTGAGCAATAGTAACAATGGTGGAAATGTTTCAAAGCGAGGGCAAATACAATGTAGCATTATGGAGAGTCCCTCAAAGTTTTGAAATGTATTGTCGTACAATAATACCTAAGCCAACTATTGTACATTGTTTATTTGCATTTCAAAGTTTGATCTTTCCCACTTCAATTTCTTCTCTTCCTGTACAGGTATTTGCTCTGCTTTAAAGCTGACGGTTCCATCACATACAATCCATGGCACTGAAGGCCAGTCACTCTTTCTCCCAGTTGACTACTATTTCAACATTACTGTTTCTTATGTCCAGATAATATGGATGTTTGAGAAACCACCAACAACCCCCAAATCTCTGGTTATCTCTCTAAATCAGTCAGTTGTCCCAGACTTAGAATATAAACACAAATTTACACTTAAACCTCCAAATGCATCCTTGCTGATTAAATCTTTAAACATGAGTGATGAAGGCAATTATATTGTTAAGATCAATATCGATGGAAATAGGACAACAGCAGCCTGTGAAAAGATCCGTGTTACTGTTGATGGTAAGTAACATGAAATGCTGAAGCTCTTGGTACAACTTGGTGCAACCAGAAGGCTGAAATCAGGATGCCCAGGGCATGGGTGGGAAACCTTTTCCCATTTAGAGAAGTTCTCAGGAGCCACAAAAGCAAACAGGGTGAGGCCTGATCCCCTATCCACCCAGAATAATGTCAGTTAAAGATCTTATTGCCAGTAGCTGAGCTTTAAAGGGGGAATTTCTTCCTTTCAAAATGAGAAAATTCTACACAGAATGTGGGGGAATCACTAAATAATTGATTTGGGAAAAGGAATGTGAGGCCTTCTGGGCAAGCTGCAAGGGTTATTTTAGAATCCCAGGAGGCCTGGATGTGGTCCTCAGGTCTGAAGCTCCTGCTCTGCCCTAAGTGTTTGTGCCACTGGCAGGGCTATGCAGTTCAGATCTGGCCTGTGCCCTGGAGAAAGGGCGACTGGTTAACTCCTCATTTTCTTGATTAAACTTACTTCTCCCAGAAGGCTGCTATTTGCCCAGTCACAGTTCTGATGCAATGGGTAAGGGCAGGAAGAGATGCACAGGTCCTGTTCAAAATAGGACAAAGAAGAAAGCAGTGATCCTAACCACATATTTCCTACATCACATTTGATTACACTTTAATGCTCCAGATGTTGTTGTTATTGATGATGATGTTCTTGCAGAAAAGTTTCCATTTAGTCTTCATTGCAGAAGTCATTCTGAATCACACAGCTTCTTATTACTGATTTACTGGGCACCACACCAAAATAAAGCAGCTTTGGGAGAGCCACTCTTGAAAGCTGAAGTTGATGAGAAAGCCAAGTCCTTGGGTCTTGGGAATACATCACAGGTTCCCAAGTCTTCCTTGGAGAGACCAATAGCTCCTTAGGCTCAGAGTCTTCATTGAGGTGATGCCAAGCCATGACACATATGTGTCTCTTATTTTGGCACTCAAATTCACCTGAAACCATGCCTGTGGCACTGGATCTCTTGGCAGCACTCCTCTGGGGCTGTGTACACTATTGCTTATACCACATGGAGGGAAGCAGTGTCCTGGGTTCGAGTCCCCATCTATCCCTAACAGATCATGGATGGTTAGTGTAAAGTACATCTTCAGCAGTCATTAGGGGTAAACACATGCGACCCGTACTAGTCCTACACACTCAGACCACTGAACTGCAATTTACTTGCTCTGTTTAAAGAAGCAACTACTTTGTCCATAACTCCTGATACTTTTTCTATTGCAGTTCCTGTCACAAAGCCAATCATACACACTGAACCCTCTTTTGGAGTTGTGGAAAGAAAAGGAAACATTACTCTGAAATGTTTGGTGGCAAAAGGCACTCGGGTTGTTTACCAGTGGATGAAAAATGGAAATCCCATTGAAGGCAGCAGTAATTACTCATACTCTATAAACAAAGACACGCTTTCCATTGTTCCTGTTGTTAAAGAAGCCATTGGGAATTACAGCTGTTTAGCAACCAATCTGATCAGTGCCATGGAGAGTGATGTGATCACACCAACTATATATTGTGAGTAGATGGAATATGTATAATAGCTTTGGCATATATTAAGTGACTGAATGAGAGAGAATGATGGTGGACAAACATCCTTGGCTTTATTTAAAAATGTCTTACATTTCTATCTCACCTTTCCTTCAAGTGTCAACGTGGAGTGCACAATCCCTGCTCCATTTGTTTATCCTTGCCACAACCCTCTGTGGTAGGTTAGGGTGGAAGGCGCTAGTCAGAGATCACCCAGCGAGCTACAGGGCTGAGCATAGATCTGAGCCTTGTTTTCCTTGGTACTATCTGATCTCCGAAATACTACCATGCAATGGCTTGCCTTTGGGCTTCCATGAAGATATTCTACTCTGATGGCAGAAGGCTTCTACCAGACAGGTCTGAGGATAAACCGGCTACTGTGGAATAGATAGAAATGTGCCTCTCCTACTTCTTTCCCTGTGAAAGAAGCCTTTACTAAGCAGATCAGAATTCATATTGAGTTGGACATGTATGGCTTTAAAAAATGCAGTGTGGTGGTGAGATGTTATTTTTTCCTGTTTTCTAGGGCACATTAATTATAATATAGCATCATATCAGCTTTCTCTGGAAATTGACATCAGCATTTCTACAATTCTAAGCCAAGGCTATTAGGGTGGCTTGGCACAGGCCAAGGTACAACTTAGATCTGACTCAACATCCAGTATGGAACATTTCTATTATGATTGATGGTGAATGTATAGGATTTTTTGTGAGATTACAGGATTTTTATTCTGGTTATATATATACCAATATTATAGATATGCAGGCTAGGATCACAGGAACAGTATCACTGTGTCCACTCAAAGGCTGGGATTGTATTCCAGGGTGGAAGAAAGGTAGGATGGAAATGTACATAAATAAAAACTAAACTAAATGTATGTTTATATTTCTCAAGCAGCCCTCACCCGCAATTCACATGGCAAATGGCAATCCACTGTTGAAAGCTGGAGGACTTTAAGAAACAATAGAATCAACCCAAAACTGTTTGCTCCCAAAAGTGAAGGGCAAAATGTCACACACAAATCACTTTAGAAGTAGAAAGCAACCAGACTAGTAGTTTGATTGTACTTCAGTACTGGTGGTAGGACCAAAAGGCAGCACGCTAGTTTAGGGAGCACTGAGGGAAACAGCTGGGGAGGGTGCTGCCACTGTCTACACAGGCACACCAGTATCATCTGCTTGAGCCCAGTGCCACAGTCTGCCTAATGGTAGGACTGGCCCTGAAAAGCAATTTCTGATCTGTGGTGGAGGCTGGTGGCTCCAGCGTTAACAGAACTGCATATCCACTCCAGATTTTACTTTGAACTCTTAAGAGGCTATCCACGATATTGAGCACATTTTGGAGATAGGATCCAGCATTACGGATAGTTCCTTACAAGATTGAAGTAAAATACAAAGTGAGTACACAGCCTTACTAACATTGGAGCCACCAGCCTCCACTACTGATCTGGCATGTACATTATTTATTTATTTATTTACTTATTAAAACATTAAAACATAAAAGTCAGCAATACAAAATTCAAAGCCATCTCAAAACAGAAAAACAAATTATATGTTAAGAATTCCCTGTTTAACCCTGTCTAACAACCAGCAGGCCCCAATAACTAATTAATGCCCTACAGTACAGTTCTCACCTGGTGCAGTAAAGTTGATGCCAGGTGAGCCTTAGTGGGGAGCTTGTTCCATAACTGGGAGGCCACCACTGAAAAGGCTCTTTTCTTTGTTGCCACCTACCAGGCTTCCCTCAGAAGTGGCAATCAGAGAAAGGCCTCAGAACGTAATCATAGTGTCCAGATAGATAGAGGTCAGAAGAGGAGGTTTGCTGCTTAAAGAAAAAGGCCCAAATCACATTAGGCATTCTCAAGGCTTTGGGTGGTCTAAAATATTTCTTTGGTACAAGATCATACCAAATTGGTATTGGTACATATTTTATGTAAACAAGGCAAATAAGCCTGGAGTCTATGTTATCATCATTTATTATTTCTGTACAAAGTAAATGTAGGTAGTTTTATGTTTGCTTAAATTGACACCTGTGAAACAAGTGAGATTACCCATAGAATAAGTCTGTGAAACATGTGGGTAATTTGAATGTACATTTGACTAGAAACATTGGTTAGCTATATGCATTAATTATATGCAGTATTTTTAAGACTGGAAAGATGTGACTGACAGGAGAAAGGGTGATGAAAAATAACTTTGTTTAACCAAGCCAAGCAAACTGGTTTACTTAACCATACTTGAAAAATGTGTTGACTCTGAAGGTGTTGCAAGCATATCTGAAAACAGCATAACAAAAGCTGGTGAATTTAACCAAAGGGAATTCTGACTTTGTATGTTTGATTTAAGCACCTGTATCCCATCTATAGGGACTGCAGGTGGTGCAATGGTTTAAACTGCTGTGCTGTTGGGCTGGTTGATCGAAAGGTTGCCAGTTCGAATCTGAACAACAGAGTGAGTTCCCGTTGCTCTGTCCCAGCTCCTGCCAACCTTACAGTTCGAAAGCATGCAAATGCAAGTAGATAAAAAGGTACCACTTCGGTGGTCAGGTAACAGCGTTCCGTGCACTTCGGTGTTTAGTCAGGCCAGCCACATGACCACGGAGACTGTCTGCGGACAACGCTGGCTCCCTTGGCTAGGAAACGGAGATGAGCACCGCCCCCTAGAGTCAGGCATGACTGGACGTAACATCAAGGGGAAACCTTTACCTTTACCTTTACCTTTACCTTTACCCCACCTATATCAACCAGGTCGCAAGATGGCTTATAACAAGAGCAGTACAGTTACAATAAAGATGAAACATTAAAATTACTGTCTTAAAATATCACCAAAGGTATTTTGATTAAGGACAAAAAGTGAGAACACAATGGAGAGATGCCCTAACCTACATGGCAGAAGGATTCTATCATTAACCAAAAATGGGAGATTCCATTTCCAGATGAATAAACAAATTCTGGGGGAGTTTATATCCATATACTCGTAGAACAGTAGAGCTGGAAGGCCACCAGATCTAACCTCTTGCTCAACGCAAGAACCCAGGTTCAAGCATCTCTAACATGCAGCTGTCCAGCTACATCTTGAATGCCTCCAGTGTGGGATGGCCCATCACCTCTGTATAATATCATGTTGTTATAACCAAGTGCTTTTTTTCATGATCCACATGCATTTGAATCCCTCCATTTGAAACCATACAGGAGTGGCTAAAACAAATTGGTATTCACTAACTTGCTCTGACACTGCAGGCTCGGTTGTATGTCACACTAATGCCTGTTCAACCCAGGATTTGGAGGGACTCTGCAATAGCAAGCAAAAGGGCTGCTTTCTCTGGACTCATAGCTTCCACTGAGCTGTGAGAACACCAGCAACTCACCTTTCTTCATGGATGAGCCTGCCCTGGTGGCACTTGTGCCTGAAATATTTTTGTCAGGATATGACCTGACACCATGGCACAGGAAATGATATTGGGATTTGTTCGTGTGACAGAGATGAAGGGCTATTACAGTGTAGATACCATCACCATGGACAGGACATAAAAGGGCTTAGTAGGGGTCTACAGCATGCTGTACCCAAGGATCATTCTGATGACATCAAGGGACATAGTTTGGCTGTCCAGTATCAGGGTCAATCGATCAGGTCTTCAGAAAACTGCCCAGATTGTAGGCAAACAAAAGCTGTAGTTTGAATGAAGTCAGATCAGTTTCTTCTGAAAGTAAAGAGTAAGTGTGATGGGTTAGTCTTGCATCAGGATTCAGGAGGTCTGGGTTCTAGTTCTTACTTGCCCATGAAGCTCACTGGGTGACTTTAGGCCAGTTACAGACTCTGAGACTAACCAATCTCACAGACATGTGGTGAGGATAAAACGGAGAGGAGGAAAACAGTGTGAACCATCCTGGGTTCCTTGCAAGAAGAAAAAAAGTGAAATATAATGTGATGATTGTGGTTGTTCTTGGAAAATAATTAACTAATGGTTCTTCTGAACCAGCTTCTGACATTATGGAATATACTGTTATAAAGTAAGTGTCACGGTGCATCCTGACAGTCCCTTCTCATCTAGCCTTCCAGACCCTGTTTACTTCAGCACCACTGTGGTCTTCCTAATCTCACCAGTCCCCTTTTGCTGCAGTGTTTAGCTTGTTCTTCCTACAGTGCTGAGTAAACCTCATATACATAGTACAGAACAGCCTCTTTGGGTTACCTTCCATTCTTGTTAAATTACATACTTCGTTAAATTACATCAACATGAATTCTATTTGTGCTTTTCCATATGGAATCTCTTGCAATATGGATGAAAGCTAACTAAAAACGAAGATCTCTACACCCTTTATACAAAATGGGATTCCATTTTGTCTGAGGATTTGTTTCTTACCAAGTATTTTGGACAAACATGGAGCCAATGTTTAATGAGGAACAAACTCTTTCCATAAGAGTTCAGAAGCCATGTTAGTCGCAATGGTTTCAACTTTCCAGTTTTGTTTTCAACTCCTGTAATTCAATCTAAACTTTATCAGGAGTACACTAAAATGCTGTTTGGCAGCTACTGGCTTTTCTCAATAAGAACCCAGTGGAGCTTCCAGGGTCTCCATGTACCATATGCCATTGCTTCCAGGGGAGTTACAGTAATAATAAAAGTCACCCACAGTAAATACCTACCATCTGTTCAGAAACAAGGTGGATAACAGTTTAATGGTGACAGGAGCAATTGGTCATGTTCCCACTGAGAAGTAAATTGTTGCTAAGAAGTGATGATTTATTATTTTACAAGTCATTTAGTAAATAGGTTTCCCTGAGTCAAAAGATCCCCTCCACTAAGAACAATATTTGAATAGAGGTAATGTTGCCAGAGAGAATTATTCAGAAAGTATCCTTGAAACCTAACAAAACTTATTAAAATTGTTTTTAGAAAGATTTTTGTGATCAGTACTATTCACAGCACATTCTTGATTTGCCTCTTAATTGCAAAACAAATGTACCAAGCACTCTTATAAGGAAAGAGGCCAGTCCAAAGCAAGGAAGCCTGCTAGGAAGTCTGCAAGGCAGGCTGTAGTTAGGGACTATATAATCAAGGCTGACATTACAAGTAAAAGAAGGCATTTGTTTCACAACTAATCTGGGTTTTACTAGAACTTACTCATAAAAGCAGAACCCCAGACTGACAGAATGTAATCTTTCTAAACTACTGTGCACAAGTCAAAGCATAGGCCTTGAGCATGGCAACACAAATACTTTTTTTCCCTTGCACATCCCTGCACAGAGAGCAGGAAGTTTGCTGTGCATACAGAAGCTCCAGAGTTGTCTGCAGGTCCAACACCTGGTATCCTAGGGCAGTGCCAGGGCTGGAATAAAAGGTAGAGGGGTCCACTTATGGATCAGCATTTAATGTTGCTATTTTTTCTAGTTTTTGGTTTTTGTAAACTGTCCAGAGACTTTAGTATTGGATGGCATATAAAATCTTTAAAGAAAGAAAGACAGAACAGAAAGCAGAGGGTGGGAATAACTGTAATTTCTCCCAATACAAGGATGTAACCAGTGGAGGCCAAATTGGGACCAAGGCTTTTCAATCTGTTCATAAATGATCTGGAATTAGGAATAAGGAGTGAAGAGGCCAAGTTTGCTGATGACACCAAACTATTTAGGATGGTTAGAACAAAAAGGTATTTTGAGGGCTCCAAAGGATTCTCTCCCAGATGGGAGAATTGGTATCAAAATGGCAAACATAAAGTAAAGTATGTTGGGGCAAAATATTCTAGCTTCAAATAAGCTGATTGCAGTCTGGGCTAGCAGTGACCAATTGAGAAAGGTATCTTGGGGTTGTGGTGGACAGCTCAATGAAAATGTCAACTCAGTGCTCAGCTGCTGTGAAAAGGACAAGCTCCATGTTAGGCACAATTAGGAAAGGAACAGAAAATAAAACTGCCAAGATCATGCTCCCCTTATACAAATATTTGGTGCAACCACACTTAGAACATTGTGTACAGTTCTGGTTGCTGCACCTGAAAAAGGACATTACAGAGTTGGGGGAAGTGCAGAGAAGAGTAACCAAAATGATAATGGGCAACTCCTCCATGAGGAGTGGCTGCAACAACTGGGATTGCTTAGCTGAGAAAAGGTGCAAGTAAGGGAAAACATGAAAGAGGTATTTAAAATTATGCATGGAGTGGAGAAAAGGGATAATATTAGATTCTGGATTTATCCCATGAAACTGATTGGTAGGAGTTTTAGGACAGATAAAGGAAAGTACTTCTTTACACAGCACATAATAAAACTATGGAATTCACTGCCATAGAAGTAGCAATGGCCACCAGTTTGGATGACTCTAAAACGGAATTGGACAAATTTATGTTGGAGGACTTTATCAATGGCTACTAGCCTTGCTGGCTATGTGCTGCCTCCATTACAAGAGGCAGCATGCCTTCATACACTACTTGCTAAGGAACTTGAGTAGTACCCATCCTGCTCAAGGGATCCTGTGGACAGTTGGTTTGCCATTGTTCACAGTCCTGGTCTGGATTTTATATATTTATCTATTTTTGCATTTGTATGCTGCCTGATGCTCCAAGTGGAGTTAGATGGACCATTGACCTCATCCAGCATGGATTTTCTTATGTTTTTATGCAGAGACTCAGCCACGCCGTGCTGCTTGCTTGCTTGCTTGCTTGCTTGCTTGCTTGCTTGCTTGCTTATTTATTTATTTATTTATTTGGAGTGCTTGTATGCCGCCCCATTCACAAAAGCCTCAGGGCGGCTTCCAATCAAATAAATAACAATATGCAAAAATATACATAATTGGAAACATCTCGGAGTTAGATAAAAGCAATAAATAATTTAACAATCAATTAAAATAACATTTAAATAAAAAGGTCTTGGCCTGGCGCTGAAAAGCAAATAATGACAGTGCCAGGCGGACCTCTCTGTGGAGCGCATTCCACCGCTTAGAGCACTGCCAGTACAGCCACATTTTTCAAATATACACATGCCATCCAATGCGTTATTTTCTGGTCCACAAGTTATGTTGCAAGCCTGCACATTGTGTCTGAGCCCATGTTCATTTTGGATGGTGGAGAACTGGGTCAAAACTGATCAGAAATGAACTGAAACCAATTTCTCACCCACTCCTAAATACAGTACATTACCCTAACCAGTCCTGTATCAGAATATGTAGGGGTGCTTCAAGCCCATTCCTGTACGTCTGACGACAGCAGCTCAAATTTCAATAAGCTCCCATTTACAGGGAGTATTTACTATGTTTTATCAAAGTTGTGAAAGGGCCTGGTCCAGCCAAGGCACTGTACTTTAGATTTGAGAATAAACTGAAATAAATAAAAACACTTGTGTGAAAGATAACATGCAGTTTATTGAGTAAAATAATGAAATATGGATCATCGATAAACACACAAAGAAACAGCTTACAGATATCCCTTCAGTCATGGGGCTTCCTAATACAGTAAACATCACTCTTGGGGCATGAATTTCTTAGCAACTTCTTGTGCCCAGATGAAGTCCAAAAGGCCAGCTAACAAGCTAAGGACTTTACAAAAACTCTCCCTCCCTCAGCTTCAGAGTCTGTCCAAAAGCCAACGGCTAACCCCTCTTCCACTTTCAGGGAAACAGCAGGCAGGGGAATTGGGGCTGCCTCAGTAAAGCAAACAATTGCATTTCTCACAGAAAAGTGGCCCTTATCTACAAAATATAATTGGGGTAGGCTACTCCAAGGCAATTACCTTTCTAACTAGTTCAAGCGGAGGCTAGGTATAAGAACCTGGCATATCTCCAAGAAACTGTCCTGGCCATGGGAAAGTCACTGCCGGTTGAACCCTAATAACCTCCTTGCTATTCTTCGGGTCAAGCCTACCCAGCGTGTCACCATTTATTGATGTACACCTATGCTTATTATGGCGTGAAACTGCAGTGATGAACTATCAATACTGGAGATGTGACACAAGCCCCAGTCTGGGAAAATAAATGTCCTTCTGCCAGGACAGATGTCAGGGACTGAGAGTGGATAGTAGCCAAAGGAACACAGATGGTCCTGAAAGGAGGAATCAAGGAGGGGCAACATCTCACGAGTACTGAACTGTGCATTGATGTCTGAGACAGTAGATCAGCAGAATTAGGGTGCTTCATGATCAGCCATGAGCAAACCATACCGCCTATGCCTGATGTTTGTTAGCAGTGCCAAACAAAGCCCTTATGTAGCACAGAACCCAGATGTGTGCAGTATAATCTCTATTTACCATCAGCTATTCCTGAACTAATTTACTAGTCTTTTTTTGGTAAATAGAAATCTTATGCAATTTACTTTGCTGTGTAAATAAAAGAGTTTTGCCCTTGTGTAGAATTTCAAGGCTTGCACAGGCTTTCAGTAGAATTATAGCTTTGCTGGTGTGTTGTGCAAAATAAAGTTTTGATATAGCTAGGGACGGTGGAGAAATTGATTTAAGGCAAGTCTGCACTCTCAAATCAACATGAGAACCAAACTCAGTTATCCTACAAAATATGCATTTCCTTAAATTTTGCAATAAAATTCTCCAATCAATACTGCATTCATTATGGAAAATGATGTTCAAAAACCATTATATTGGGGAAAAGTTTGCAAAACATGTGTATATTAGGTAAATTTTTACCCAAAAATGCAAGTGTTCAGACAAAATGTACAGAAAGTTATGGTTTATTGAAACAAACCAACTTCAAACCATAGTTTAAGAAGCAGGCTTTTAAAAAAGAAATTGTAGTTAAGATTAATCACAGGTTAGCATTTGAAAATAACACTAAATTGTGATTAATCTAAAACAACAGCTGAGGATTTTGCTCTTTTCCTCATTACTACACCAGAGGAGAAATTGAAAGAGAAGTGTATAAGCATGATGGTTGCTGTAGATCATTCTTGTAACATTAGACCCTGGTGTAAACTGGGCTTGAGGTGGAAGAAAAATGAAAATGTAACAAAGTCTAAAGTAAACTTTACCTGTATTTAGGCTCTATATAGAAAAATAATCATATGCAAAAGAGAAGTTTTATAATTGGAACATTTGAGATAACAGCAGTTGTTTGCTGTGAATTATGTTTCTCAGTTGACTTTTTTCTTTTTGTTCCTTTATTGTTATATTTATGAAGATGGACCCTATGGGCTTACCATAAATACTGACAAAGGCCAAAAAGTAGGGAGAGTGTTTACACTTGACAAAGGTGAAGCGGTTCAGCTTTATTGCTCAGCAGATTCGAATCCACCAAATATTTATTTATGGATCCGGAAGACAGAAAACTCCACACACCCTATAAAATATGGAAGTTCTCTGGAAGTTGCATCTGAGATGGTGACACAGAAAACAGAAGAATATACGTGTAGTGCTTACAACAACATGACTGAAAACCAGATTGAAACCAACATCCTTGTAATAATTGTACCAAAAGGTAGGAATGAAAGAATATCTATATCAACTTACAAAATTCAAATTTCAAGCGAATGTAAGAGAATCCAGCTATCCATTATATTAAAGTTCATATTTGCAACATTCCTAAGCAAAGTCTTATTGATGCAGTATTATTCAATAGCCATTCCCTCTTTCTGCAGACACTGAGAAATTTAATTTTGTGAAGCAGGTTTGGGATCCATAACAGAGGGACCAAAGAAAAAGGGGTTGAGCTCCCAGTGCCCAGAATACAAGGATATGTTTGTTTGTTTATTTATTTATTTAAAACTTTTGTATGCCATCCCTTATGCATGGCATCTCAGAACGGCTCACAATCCATAAAATCAAAATACAGTAAAACCACATATATAAATAACATAGTAACCATAAAATGTACATAAAAGTCAAAATCAACGTGATTGTTAAAACATTAAAATACTAATGTTTTAAACGGCGATTAAATAAAAAGGTTTTGACCTGGTGCCGAAAAGAATATAAACTCAGTGCCAGGCTCACCTCTCCGAGGAGTGCATTCTACAATCTGGGCACCACTGCAGAGAAGGCCCTGCTCTGGGTAGATGTTCTTTTTACCTCCTTCAGGGAGCGCCTCTCCTGCCATCCTACACATGCTTCCCTGGGTGTAACTCACATTGAACCCAACTGGGCTTACTCCTGAGTAGATGTGTACAGGATTCCACTATGTTTTAAGCAAGTTAACATCTAAGGTTACTTTCTTTCCTATGCAGCAGCCCCACCCCTCCATCCTCCCTTTATTTTCTGGTTTCTGCAGTTCCCCAGTCAGTAAAGCCAGTGGTGACGGCTTATAGAAGTTGGAGCTGAGCAACATTTCAAGGGCCACAAGCTGCCCAGCCCTGGAATTGTTATAGGTAGATCCCAAAATTCATTTTTCTTCCTCTAAAGAAATAGTTTTATCAACCATAATTGCTGCTGCCTATCTGGCAGTATAAAAATATAATTACAACAACAACAACAACATTGTTTGAAAAGCACTGTGTCAGAACATAAATTGTCAGATATGCTGCTTCCCCTCCTTGTGATAACTGTATATTAAATATTACAAGATTTAGTAAGAAAACATGGGAGAATGATGATAATCACATTTTTTCGTGCCATTAAGAAGGATCTCTCCTTTTCAGATCCTTTAGCCATTCCATCAACATAAACAAAATATTAGCAAAGAGCCTTATCTGACATCTCGCAAGCTTCTTTTCTGCAGCACAGAGGAGCTATTTATACCTAAAATAAACATGGCCATTCAACTGCCTATTGTACAAAGGGATTTAATGTTATCATTATAGATGAAAGTTTGGTAGTTTCCAAATACACAGAAAGGAAAATAGGTTACAATTTTACCATGGAACCATGTTAAAAATACTTCGATGCCTAGAAAGAAAAAACAAACAAACATAAATAAAGCTTGTCCATTACATTAGGAATAAAAGGTGCATATTTGTTATTGTGGAAGTAAAATAGGGCTTTGTAGAGTGTGAATGAGAAAACAACCATTTTAAAGTTTATTTTGCAATCTGAAAAGATATCCCTAAAGTATGTATTTGTATACTTCTTTTCTTTTAAGCTTTGATAACACAATCCTATGTAGACCCCTATGCAGAGGTCAACAGAAAATGGGCCTACAGAATTGCAAAAATACCTTGATGGAAGCAGGGGAACCACAGCAGGATTAAATTAAATTCCCTCTGGGGGGTTGGAGCAGCTAAGAAGTGCCACAAACAGGCAGGCATGTCCAGAATGGGGAAGGGGAAAACCCAATTTAGGACCAGAGCGGACCAATCAGGAGGAGTCGCTGCAGTCCATAGGCAAGAATAAGGAAAGAACAGGGAAATCTGGCATATGTGTGGCATGGCTGGGAGGACAGAGGAAATTGGACCTTGTTTTCATCTGACAGATAAGATCGGGCAAAATCCATGTACCATGGAAACAGTGGACGGTGGTTTGCCATAGATTAAAGCTAGCCAGATATGCTTTAATTGTGCCTTAGCCCAGATATGCCTAATTCCTTCATCCAGCATGTCCTGAATTACATCTGTTTTCTTCTTTCTTCACATAGCATCAAAAAGTGTCCTCATCTGCAGAATCCACAGCATTTTTGTCCATTCCAAAGCTATTTCAAACCTATATATGCGCATCAGCATGGGTTTACTTCTCTGCTGAGCTAATTCAGCACAACTTATGCATATTCAAGAAGCAGACTTTTGCCTAGCATTTAGCTTGGGTGGGGCAGGTGCCCCTCACTACTTTTATATGAAATTAATAATATATTTTATGTGAAGATTTGAATCAAAGGTAAAAAAATGACAGGAACACAGCCTAGTTCAGTGGTGGTGAACCTATGGTATGCATGCCACAGCGGGCACGCAGAGCTCTCTCAGTCGGCATGTGAGCCAAGTCGCCCCAGCATTGCCCCAGCAGACAAGCCAAGGATATATGTATTTGCTTTGACTGGCTGTGTTTTTTCTAAACTAAAACCTCAGTTTTCAGGTTTTATTGTGTTTAGAATGGGCAGAAATGATGAGCTGTGCCGAAAACAATATTCAAGGAAGGTTTTATCAAAATCACCCTCTTTTCAATGGAACTTTCACCCTCTATTAGGGTTAGGGGTGTGCACCAGGGTAGGGTTAGGGTTACAAAAATGAAGTGTCCTGGCATGATTTTGATGGTTAGAATGTGTTCAGAATGGGCAGAAATGATGAGCTGTGCAAAAAAAAACTACTCAAGGAAGGCATTTTCAAAATTGCCCCTTTCAATAATATTTTACCCCTATATTAGGGCTAGGGGAGTGTACCAGGGTAGGGTTAGGGCAGTGGTGGTGAGCCCATGGCACACTTTCCACAGTGGGCATGCAGAGCCCCTTATGTCGGCACGCGACCCAAGTCACACCAGCATCGCTCCAGCAGCCGAGCATCAGATAACAGTGCACACTGGGGCCATGTGCATGCTTGGAAAGGAGTAGTGGCGCCAGGCAATGATGTCACGAACCGTGACTCATTAGTCACAGCTCGTCCGAGCTTTCGCATGACCAGTCAGTCGTCTGCCAGGATTTATTTATTTATCCATCCATCCATCCATCCATCCATCCATCCTTGGACTGGCTGTGAGTTGTTTTTTCTAAACTAAAACCGTAGTTTTCAGGTTTTATTGTAGTGTTGGCACTTTGCGATATATAAGTGGGTTTTGGGTTGCAGTTTTGGCACTCAGTCTCTAAAAGGTTCACCATCACTGGCCTAGTTTCTCTAACTGATGACCTTCAGACTTTTACAGACTATAACTGATGGTGTTATTGGTTTCTCTGATATCAATATTTGCATAGTTATAAAAGGAAGCAACAGTTGATAGTTGCTTATCTTGCCGTGCAGGGCATTTGTTGTCAAAGAAACATCAGTCATAAATATAGGAACCATGTAAAACTAGTACAGCACCTATGTGATCTGTGCTTTAGCTTAGAGAAGTATCTACAACATAAAACATGAGATTGCAGAGGGCAAAGGATGCATACCAGTTGCAGAAACACCTGTAATGGCCACAGCATGAAGCTTCTGTTAGAAATACTGAAGAAATGAACATGTGGTGAAATAGACTTTAAGATTTTGAACAAATGGCATCACTATCTGACATGCTAGCTGTTTAGCTCTTTAATGGCACTGGGAATGCGAGAAGTGAATTAGATACCTTTATTCCCTGAAATGTGGTATTGCTATCATCAGGTCTAAAACTCCCAAACTAGACAGAAAATGTAAGATGCATATATCTTCTTCCTGGCTTTTTAAAAATCCAAAACTAAAACAAAAGGAGTGGGCTTAAACCACAGGTGTTGATTGTCCAGGAATCAAATGTGGCCTGCCTGTGGTCCCAGAGTAGGCCTCTGGGATTACCAAGAAGGCCACATCCCCTTCCCTTCATAGAACAGTGGTTTCCACTTGCCAGCCCCTCTGTTTGACAGTTTCTTGGCTTTTCTGTGGTCTCCTGTTCGTGATTCTAAAAAGCTGAAATGCCTCTTCTATTTACTGACAATAAGGGCTTAAAGCTAAAATATGCTAGTATTTTTTGTCCTCCACCCACCACTGGAATGCAGGCTCCAAGATTAAATTTTGCCCTCAGGATGCAAGAAGTTTGACACTTCAGTTTAAAACAAAAGTATTGAGTGGAAACTAAGGCCTTAAGTGGAAGAAGCATCATGCCTCGTCTGAAGGAGTCTTCTTCAAAACTGAAGTGTCTCAGAGAAGCTGCCTGTATATGAGGGCCTTGAGGTGGATTGGGGGATCCTGGGCCATTGAGGATGACAGTCATAGACCCTAACCCTCAAGCCATAGTTAGCCCCTTTCAGGCTTGGAGGCAGACCTGCTCACAAGTTGTGTTTTGGGTGAGGTTCAATAAGCTTCAGGTCTAGATACTGGCAATGTCAGAATGCTAGCTCATGGACTTGTATTTCCTGTTCATCTGGTTCATTGTGTGCTTGATTTTGACCCACATTCTGATCTCACTTTTGGGTCTCTGGTTGCAGCCCCCTATAAGCAAGACATGTAGAAAGGTCTATTCAACACATTCTAAGTGGTTTAGCTCTCAAAGTCCCCCCTCCCACCCCAGCTGCTTTTCTGCTAATGGAGGGAAGATATAGGGTGCCCATATATTCCCTCGTGACTGATAAAACTGTGGGAGACAGTTTGAGTAGCAAAACAGCTTGAGCAGTGGGGCAGAATTAGGGATCCAGGCAATTTTGAGGACGGAACCTTGCCAGGGACCTAATCTGGCCCTCTCTGATTCTCTAAGAAGGCCACACCTCCTTCATCTGCCCCTAACCATTCCTTGTCTCCTCATTTCCTAGCTATTGCACACTTTGTTCCCCATGAAATGCCTTTCCTAGTACTGATTTACTGAAGGCAAGACGTTTAAGCTAAAATATTGCTTTAAGCTAATATGTTTTCCCCACCCACTACTGGAAGGCAACTCCCAAGAGCTTCTTGG